ATGTGGATGACAATCTTCCAAGCCAGCCAGTCAGCCTGCCTCCCTGGCGGCTTGTGTCACTCATCCAGTACACCTCATGAAAACATCCCATACATCAAGTCCCYGAGCCAAAGTGAAGCAAAAGAAACGAGGAGAGACGGGGGCAAGAAAAAAGGAAAGATCCATTGCCCCACCCACAGCCATTGATCAGTAATCTGTAAGAAGAACCTGATCAATCATGCTGCACACTCTGCCACTGTCCAACTGACAACACCCAAATAGCCAGCGCCAACAGACTGATGAGTGATATGACAAGCGGATGGGCCCCCAAATGTGCCTCGGCCCATTGATTTCCACTCGGCTCATAATAAGATCAGCAGACATATGGGTCGCTGGGAGAGCATATTGTCAGAGTGCAGAATGAATGGGAAGCCCAGGCTGTTTCTGTGTTTACACGCCTGTTCAACATCGGTTACACTGGGAGGACTTGTGAGATTTTTATGATCAGCAAAGTTGTACAAYGGAGTTAAACAAAAAACAAACTCTGCTACAGCTTTATTTATTTGGCTGTAATACAGATTAGGGGTTATTTATTATCTGTATAATTTGCCCAGTGGAGAAATGACACACTGTCTTACACACACTACTTGATAATTCGCTGTGTTAACAAGCTTTATTTGCCAGCAGCTCCCCTGGTTCCAGCATTACCACACCATCTCCTGTCAGATTGCCCTCAGGAATGAGGGAGTTATCCAGAACAATCCATTTATGCACTGAAGTTCCCCTTTTTCTGCCTCGTCGCCTCTGGATTTGATGTTTGAGTAAAGAAGTGCTTTAGTTTTGCTTAATGACTCTGCTGCTGTCTCCAGCCCAGTGTTAAGCTTCGCCTACCCTCCAACTCCAGTGGCTTTGCACGTGCACCAGCAGCTGATGGGCCGTCAGCCGGGCATCGTGGGCTCCGCCTTTGGTCACAGTCCGCCCCTAGTCCACCCGACTCCGGCCTTTCCCACGCAGCGAACCGTGCCCGGCATCCCGTCGTCYGGGCTCAGCCTCAGCGAGCGCTCGGCCATCTCCAACGACTCTTCACAGGTGAGAGCTTTGGTCTGCGTCTCGGCGATTCATCATGACACGTAATGGATAGCGGCGAGGTGAGGCGAGGCGTGCCAGCCACGCGTGAGCAACATGCGCCGAGCTAACGTGGCATAGGCAGGACCCCTTGTCTCTACACAGTCCTCTCCTGGGAGTTTCCTTCTGCTTGTGTTGTTTCTTGTTTTTTTAGCCAGCCGAGCACAGTCCCGAACGTGACGTGCCTGCAGGAAACAACAAGGGGCTTGTTAGCATAGAATACCACCGCTGAATCCATTAATCACTGCAGAGAGAACAAGGATATAGTCAGGGAATATTGACATGGATGGATGGATCCAAGGGGGCTTTTTCCCTTTTCGTTCCTCATTTCGTACACTATGTGCGGGCCCACATTTGACGTAAATATCCAGTGTTTATTACCCATCCTCCCTGTTGTTTTCCATGCGTTGTCAAAGATGAAGCCTCATTCAAATTAAGCAAAGCAAATTTCCCTTTTCTTTTCCAGCATAAACAGAATCTTGCTTTAGGAATGAAGGATATTTTTGATCTGTAGACGTCTCCTTTTCCAGACGTCTAAATGTTCCGTTCATTTCTTTCACTTTCACAAAACCTGCTACGCTACAAGAACWCCCCCAAGGGTATATTTAAGCCAGGGCCAGAGTCAGGTCATCCATTGGTTGAATTGGTTCGTGAGATTGTTTTAATTGCAATGATTAGGGTAGCTAATGCGATACGGTGACTTGTATAGGTTTTCATTAGCTCAGTTAAAATTTGAGATGTTGGCTGCAGAAATTATTACAAACCAACCCYGGTAGTTTTGTCCTGTTGATTAAGTAATTGATTAAGTCGCATACATTTTTAATGAAGCCATAACAATGGATATACGTATCTCTACAAACAACATTAAGGAATTAATGATGATAAACTTGTAAACGCTCAGATATTTTTATTGTTTCCACAGGCCAAGCCCACGAGTGAATCGGCCGTGAGCAGCACAGGCGACCCGATGCATCACAAACGGTCCAAAATGAAACCGGAGGAAGAGCTGCCGAGCCCAGGAGCTGTGAGCGTACAGGTGAGTCACCAAGAGACAGGCTCACCAGCAGCAAGTATTTTCTTGAATCTGGCTGTACMCGCTTTTTTTTTTATTATCACTTTTCCTTTTCAAAGTGATTCAATCATTGATTTTTTTGGGGGGAGACTAAGGAAATTGATTTTGCTTTTGTTTAATCAAAATCTTAAGTGGCTGGGACAACGTGATAAAAACAGCAAAGTGGAAACATCTCCAGAAAAAAAAAAAAAACCTTGTTCGAGCTGATTATCAGCAGATGAAAGCTGAGGTGTGTGGTGGAAGTCTCCCTTCAGGGACCCACGCCAACTCCAACCTCTACCTACAACATGTGACAGTGAAATATGTCTGGGCTAATACAGTAACCTACAGCAGGAAGAGGGGGTTAGAGTCTTCAAACACATACAGAGGGGCTTTCACTACTCCATTTCCGCTCCACATTTTTCCCCCGCAGCCAGACAAGCCCATATTCACATGGTCACCGTGGTAAAAACCTGTAAGTAATAACTTTCTGCTGTGCCTTTTTATTGCCAAAATACCTTTTATGACAGGTTTACGTGTTGGGGAGGTGAAGCACTTCCTTCTGCTTTCACTTTTTTTTAATCTGATTTTAAGTGATTTTGCTCATACAGCATGTAATTGGTTCTCATTCATCTTTTTTTATTTTYCCTTTGTGGTGGTTTGTTCAGGACCATCCTGACGGGATGACTTTGGTGAAGGAGGAAGGGGACAAGGATGAGAGCAAACAGGAGCCAGAGGTGGTTTACGAGACAAACTGCCACTGGGAGAACTGCTGCCGTGAGTTTGACACCCAGGAGCAGCTGGTACAAGTGAGTATCAGCAGAACAGACCAAATACTCAGTTTCCTGAAAGAAATCATAAAAAGCTAAACTAAAAAGGAGGTCAAATTGGTAAAATTGGAAAAAAAAGAGCCAATTGCAGACAAGCAGGTGGACCATCTATGGTAAAGCAATAAATATACATTTAAAAAAAACACTGATTGTTTTCCAGTGATAACATTTTAATTCATAATCAAAAATCCTATCAAAACTCTTCAAAATGGAGTGGATTTTGTACAACGCTGCTCAAAGATTGTRGTTTAAAAACTTCACAAATTAAGCAAAACAATAAACAAGAACAACTGAGATTAATATGGGGCGTCAAGTGTAAAAAACAAAATGTTTAAAAACATCACTAACTCGTTTCCATTATTAAGCTCATCCTCTGAGTGTAAAATCCTAGTTCAAAATTTTTCTTTTATTTATTTTCTGTTGTTTAACCAGGCAAATCCCATTGAGATCACAGAAATATTTTTGCAAGGACGGCCTGGGCCTGAAGGCAACCTRTTGTACATGTTTTTAGTCTGTGGGGGAAACCGGAGTACCCGGAGAAAACCCACTCAAGCTTGAGGAGRACATGCAAACTCTGCACTAAAAGACCCCAGGTCTGAACCGGGGAWCGAACCCAGGACCTTCTTGATGTGAGGCGTCAGTGCTGAACTCTGAGCCATCRTGCTGCCATTTTCATTAACATTTAGCTCATTGTTCTTACACCTTGCTAATTTTTACATTATTTTAAATCTAAATATTAAATAATAAATGTAAACACATATATACATAAATCTAAATGTGTAAATCAACATGTAAAAATTAAATCGTGAATGTAGTCAAAAGTCGAAGTTTACATTAACGTATTGCAGAATTAACTAACCAGGGTGATGTCATCGTTCCGTGACAGACGTCAACGCTAACCTCTGCTAACCACTACTAAYGCTGCTGAAGATGGTATTTAAAACCTAAATTGAAAATGTGTTTAGTGAAAATAATATGAATGGTACCACTGCTCCGGTAGTTTGAAGAAACTGCAGGTTTGATGTCTTCTAGGGAAGCGTTAGCGGTTGCTACTGTCTCAGGAGGATGACGTCCTAGCAAGAGCCGAGCATCAACAATAAAAGCTGTGTTCCATTCTGAAATACACTGCTACACATTTCTAGTGGTTCAAAGTTTCCAGAAGGTTCACTACAATACGATACGATACGATACGATACGATACTGTACGATACGATACGTTACAATACAATACAAAATGACTTCACTGTGATTTTTCCCAGAAACAACAAAACACAGCTCTTGATATTAGCAGTTCAAATTGGCCAACAACAAGGAAAAAAATAAGATAAAAGTACAGTAAATAGAAAACACTGAATCTAAAAAAAAAAACAAAAAAAAAAGATGATATTAGCAGAAAAATAAGAGTCCAAGTCTGTCTGTTGCCTCTTTTTTGCGCAGTAGAAGACTAGACTTCAAAACAGGCACAACAGGTTGTTTACAGCTCTGTAGTGCAGCTCAGAAAACACAATTATGTGCTTTGAGGGGTTTTGGTGTTTTTCTTCCCTCAAGCCCCTCTAGATCCCTTCAACATTAACAGAAGCTGCCATTCTGGACAGAACCTCCTGTCAGGCCTCGACTTCTGTGTCTGGCAGCCTCGAGCCAAAAGGCTGGATTCCTGATTGGATCTAGGGACAGTGGTAATGGGCTCAAAAAGCTGGAGTGAACATCTCACAGCTGGACGGCGCTAACTGATTTGGTGGGTAAAGCCTCCCGGAGCTTTGCGCGCTGCACTGGACCGGACTCCTTCTGTACCCCGTCTGTTATCAGAACTCTCACACAAGCCTGGAGATGGATGCTTCTCAACATTCACTTCTGCCCGAGGCGCTCTCTTTTAGGTAAAAATATTAATAACGTCACGGCCGTGTCACCTCCCTCTACTGTGGTTACGGCTGCTTTTAGCTGTTTTGCTCCATCTTGGACTGTGAGTCGTTTACCCTTCAGCTAACCACACTGAAGTTGGACGAGTGATGAAATTACACCAATTGGTGCACATCATGACACATCTGATAGAAAGATCCTAAAGCTCTCCACAGCTGTCTGTTTGCCATCTTGACACTGCAATCCTCAGCCGCGGTGGTAACCCCTATCTATAATTGATATCCTCAGCACRAAATGGGCTGCCTCCCATGTTTGAAGGGCTCAGCTCAAAGGCTGAGGATTTTTTGACAACTTCCTGCCCTGGTTTCAGGAGGTAGGATGAGTAAAAGTGGTAGGAGAGGAGGGCAAGATGGCTTTTTATTGAGGGRGAAAAAGAATACTCACTTTCCTCACCCTATTCTAGTAGCATCCAGGCTGCCATCAAAAGAAAACTCATTCCTCCTCTTATCCAGACTAACCTYGACAAGCTGCACTTAATAGGACTTTCACAAAGGAAAACTTGATTAGTTYTCATGTTTCATTTCTCTCTCTCTCTTATCCTAGCATTTGACTTTCTGATGTGACATTTTTATTTCTCTTTTTTTTTTACGCACATGCAGATATTGCGGGGAGATGCCAATAACTGTAGCCTTCGCCTACAGAATCCCTGCCCTCTAATTCAGCAGAGCAGACGGGAAAACGCTCTTATCTCTGCACCCCCCCCCCACCCACCCTTCTCAGTAATAGGATAAGTACAGTATTTGGACCACAGTGGTTCTCTTCACACTGTGGGAGGGGTTTGGAAGGGTGGTGGTTGGCGGGGATTTCCATATAATCAAACAATGGAACGTCCCTTCTCTCTGTAACTCGTCTTCTGAAACAGCTTTGGGAGGGGGTGACAACAACGAAGGAAAAAAGCGTCAGTTTCTCCTTAGTTTAGATGGTTTTAAGTGCTGTGTTTGTTTAAAAGTTAAGTGAAGGTACAACAACCAAAATTGYCAGGTTTTACAAAATCAACCGAATCTTTTTGAAGTATTAAAAGTAAAAGCACTAATTCAAACACCCTGTTTCTCTTTGTGGTTGGCCTAATTTGAGAATTAGGCCTTCACGCCACCCTCGTCGCTTTCTACCTTGATCAAACGCGCTCCCGTAGCGCTCCTGATGCATATTTTTACACCCTCGAACACTGCGTTCACCGCGACACGCTACGGCGTTCCTTTATCGCCCTCGTTTAAGCGCTCACGGTGCCGCCGATAAGATAAGCATCATATCTGTGCAATTTGGCTCACTTATCGGGCCTACCCAGTCAGCAAAAGCGAGGCGGGTGTCAATTTTAGTTTGCTATATTTATTTCATTTATTACATTTCTACTCTGTTGTACCTCTCCAGCTCCCTCTCAGCTCAGCATTCTTTATCCAACCCCCACTTTTTTTTGGGTTATGATCCTTTCTCATTTCCCCTTTCATTTTCTCCCCCTCCTCTCTCTCGCCCCTCAGAGGGAACACTTTTAAAGATAAGGCCTGGTGGCTTCTTTAATGTCTCTCTTGAAGTAGGCTTTTCTTTGGTTTTGTCGCCCGCGAGGCCAACCCCACTCCCCCACAATTCCCTAATATGGCCTTGCTCAACAGTCTGTGATTATTTTCTTATTGATCTGTCACCGATTCATTGCTGAATGAAAGCTCCTCTGTCTTTTGCGCAGAGGAAAACCTGAATACTCCTTTGTAAAGCAGTTTTAGGGAACAAAAAAGGGATGTGTGGGAATATTGTACTGCGATATGGACTTTTCTCATCTGTAGATAGAAATGGCTTGTTCTGAGGTTAAAAGAAAAAGCTGTTCCGCGCTAGTGAAACTGCAATAAAAATGTTAAATAGCGTTTCTTTGCTTGTTAGAAAAAAAGTCTTGCAGTAGGTGCACTGATCAATCCACCGGCCAAATCAACCTTGATTTTCTTAACTTTTGGAGATTACGAGAAGCCGATCTTATCTACCTCCGCAAAGATATGAAAATCAACCACTGCCCCCTTTTGCTCTGCTGTGAGAGAGGGCTGTTGTCCAGTTAAAACAGGTTTGTATTGTTTCAAGGGTCTTGTTTAATGTTTTTCAATAAAATAAGATTGGAACATTGAAAGTGACTTTATATCACCTGACAATGTCTTTTCTAAAAAAACAAAAATCAGTATCGGACAAAATCGGAATGGGCAAGTCAGACTTTTTAGAGATCGTGATCAGCCAGAGAACTGCTATCGATGCACACCCCGATCTTGCAGTCCTGCTGTGCCCTGCAAAAACAGTTTGTTCAGAACTTAAAATTTTACTACCAACCTCAAACTGTCAGGAAGATCTGAATGGGAGGTATTTTTTTTTTATGCTTGTGCAATTGATAGGCTTTCCCATTGTTGCTCAGAGTTTACCATTCCATCGTGTATCTCCCAATGTTTAAGAGAGATAAAGCAGCACTCCTCTCCCCCGCCCCCCAAATTCTGGCACAAGCCTTTAATTGGTAAAATGCAGATTTTTTTCTTCTTTTTTTTGATCAGGAGAAGGATTATCTATCTTATCTGTCTAGAGTATCTTACTCTGAGATGAAAAGACTGCTGAATTACACATGCCAATTTCAGCTCCCTGCCCCTTGCTTTTTATTTGCTTTCCCTCAATTCCCCCTATTTTATTCCTTCCCTCCCTCCCTTCCCTCTCGCTCTCTCTCTTTGCCTCCCATATTTTCCCTTTGTAAAAGTTGTTTTTCCCCCCCCCCACCTCTCTTTACACAAAGCAGCTCAGCAACTGACATCACAAAAGAGCATATGATTTATTAGGCAATGTTTGATAAAGCTAAACGGTGTTGCGGGTCCCATCGCTTTGTGAAATTGCCTTGTAAACAGGCCCCTCTTTTCATGCACGCTTGCATTCTAATGCATGAAGGCAGCGTCCCAAAGAGGGTTTGATAAGGAGACATGGAAATGGATACTGAAGTGAATAAACGGCAGGACAAATACCAGGGAGAAAAAAAAAAAGAGATGTGATTTAATGTATTACAATAACCCACGTGGTGGGGATTTTAAATCAGCAGCTTTAAGGTTTTAGCA